CCAAACCTCTAGCACTTATCACATTTCTTCACATATTCCATGGCATCCTTCTTCATGGTAAGCCAGTAATACCCGTATCTTATGAGTTTGAAGGCTAATGCCCAAGCTCCTTGATGGTTCCCGCATAACCCTTCATGAACTTCTTCTAAGGCTTGGGAGGATTCCGAAGGCTTAAGGCACCTAAGGTACGGAAGTGTGAGGCTTATGCGAAACAAGACCCCATCAATAATGCAATATTTTGGAGCTTTTGACCGAACGCTCCTTGATGCCTGAGGGTCTTCTGGAAGGTTGCCATTTGTTATGAAGTCCACAATTAGGTCCATCCATGATGGGTCGTGATCAATGTCCATGACCCCAACGGTTGAATTGATGCTAAGCACAGTCACAAATCTGACATGTACTATTCTGTCAAGTCCATCTACTCCCATGAATACCAGCCTTGGTAAGGCATCTGCCTTGCAGTTGTCAACCCGGGCAATCTTCACAATTTCACACCTCTTTAATTTTCATCGAAGATCATGAACTTTTAAGCAGTATAAGCTCATTTTCTCATCTTTCTTCTCAAATGTTCCATTAATTTGCCCCACCACCAGCTGGGAATCACTAAAGATTTTGATGTTTTGAAGTTTGAAATTAATGGCAAGTTCCATGGATATGATGACAGCCTCATACTCATCCTCATTGTTGGTTGCCACGAATTCGAACCTGAGTGCACATTGAATGTCCATGAGCATGTTCGGGCTCATTATGATGACCCCTGCGCCCAAGCCTGAGGAGTTTGATGCTCCATCCACGAAAATTTGCCAAACATCTGTTGTAGTGCTCGAGCTCTCTTTTAGCCCCCGAGGCTTAGGGGTGAGTTCTGCAATAAAGTACGCTAAAGCTTGGGCTTTAATGGACGGATGGAGTTTGAACTCTATGTCAAACTCCCCAAGTTCAATTGCCCACTTTCGTAATATGCCTGAGACATCTGGCTTCTGAAAGATGTGTTTCAGAGGCTGATTGGTGAGAACCACAATGGGGTGAGACTGAAAATATTATCGAAGCTTTCGTGCTGCCACTATTAAGGCAAGAGCAAGTTGCTCGGCCAATGTGTACCTAGTCTCTGCATCAAGTAGGACTTTACTCACGTGGTAAATGGGTTGTTGGGCTCTATTAACCTCTTTTACCAAGACGCCACTTACTGCGTTTTGAGACACGGCTAAGTATAATAACAAAGTATCCTCGGGCTTAGGTTTAGTGAGGATAGGAAGAGACGCCAATGTCTATTTGAGCTCCTGAAAAGCCTTTTCACACTCCTCATTCCATTCAAAGGATTGGCTGCCTCTAAGAACTTTGAAGAAAGGGAAGCACCTGCCTGCTGCTCGAGACATGAACCTGTTTAGGGCTGCAACCTTCACTGTCAATTTTTGTACTTCTTTCTTGGTTCTGGGCGATTCCATTGTTTCCAAGGCCTGGATCTTATCAGGGTTAGCTTCTATCCCCCGATGAGTGATCATGAAGCCTAAAAATTTTCCCGAAGCTACACCGAATACACATTTTTCTAGGTTGAGCTTCATCCGATATTTTCGTAGGGTGGTGAACACCTCCTCCAAGTCGGATATGTGCTGCTCTACCTTCTTATTCTTTACAACCATGTCATCAACATAGGCCTCGATGTTCTTCCCTATCAAATCGACGAAGACTTTGTTGATGAGCCTCTGATATGTCACTCCAGCATTTTTCAACCCAAATGGCATCACTCTATAGCAATATATGGCTGAATCAACCATGAATGAAGTCTTCTCTTACTCTTCTTCAGCCATGAGGATTTGATGATACCTTGAGAATGCATCTAAGAAGCTGTACAGCTTATGTCCGGATGTGCTATCCACAAGATTGTCAATCCTGGGTAGCGGGACCTTCCATGCAAAAACATCGATGTTGCGAGACAGACAATTGATGGCTTCCTCCTGGAGGCTGGCCTTCAGATCCCGACCAATAGTCACCATTTTCCCTTGCTCGAGCTCGACCACTTCCAATTCCTTAACGGGGGCCAATCTACCCCTTGGCTCAAGGTCAAGGTTTGAAAGTTGCATGACGTCTGTACTCATTCCTCAAATGCTAATAACATAGCACTGTCTGGCAGCTGTTTGGTCTCCTTGAACGACTCCGATGCCATAACCTGTGGGGAACTTCATGGCCAGGTGGAAAGTTGATACAATAGCTTGGATCTTATTTAGTAGGGGTCTTCCCAAGATGATGTTGTAGGCCATTGGGGTACCAGCCACTTGGAATGGTGTGATCTCATTTACTTGTGTATTACCAGAACCTAATGTAAGCGGGAGCTCGACGATGCCCTTAGGGATAATGACTCCGCCACCAAATCCCTATAGAGGAGTTTTCACTGATTTGAGTTGTTTGCAAGAGATCCCCATTTTGGCGAAAGCTTCCTACAAGAGTATATTTGCTGCACTCCCATTATCAACCAAAATCCTCTTTACTTCGAAGTTAGCCACAATTGCCGAGACGACCAAGGCATCGTCATGAAGATATGATATTCCTTCCAAATCTTTTGTTCCAAAAGTGATGTCTTTGACTTCATCACGGGATTCCTTTGGGGTATGAGTATGTTGGCTAGCATATTGCTTTCGCCCAGTATTTGTGTCTCCTCCAGATACTATACCCCCAATGATAATATTAATGGTCCCGACAGTGGGTTGAGCACTGCTTCCTGCTCCAAGCTCTTTCCGATTGTTACGGCCATTCCTCGAGCGTTTATCATGACCAATGTAATTCTTCAAAAATCCTCTTTTGATAAGGACTTCAATTTCTCACTGTAAAACATGACAATCCTCTGTGGTATGCCCATTATCTCGGTGAAATTCGCAATACTTGCTCTTATCTCTTGTGTCAGGGGGCGACTTTATTCTTGAAGGCCACTTTAATTATTTCATATCCTTAATCTCCATCAAGATGTTTGTCTTAGAGGTGTTCAACCGAGTGAGAGGTGCTGACGGCGCCTCATTCCTGCGCTTATCCCGAGGAAGCTCATGCGGGGGGACGGGATCATGTTGCCTCTTGTTTTAGATCTTTTCATGAGAATGACCAGCTCTCTTTGGATTCAATGTTTCCTCCATATTAATGTACTTTTCAGCTCGGTTAAGGAGCTCGGTCACTATTTGTGGTGGGGTCTTTGATAAAGACATTTTGAAGGCCTCACACCTTACGGCATAGGTGAGGGCAGAAACTGCAGCTGTAATGTGAAGGTCAGGTATTTGAAGTCTTTCCTTGTTAAATCTTGTCATAAAACCTCGTAGGGTTTCATTTGGTCCTTGGCGCAGTTGCATGAGGGAGGCCGCGGTCTTCCTAATTTGCTTACTACTTGCAAAGAAGGCTGAGAACTTATCAGCCAAATCTGAGAATAAAGCTATAGAGTTGGGCTCTAATGTCGAGAACCAATTCCTAGCAGCATTAGTCAGCGTTTGTGGAAAGGCTTTGCACATAACCTGATCCGGCGCAACTTGCAAGTTCATGACATCGGTATATACATTGAGATGGTTGATGGGGTCGGTCGTCCCATCATACTCTTTAATGCGAGGATATTTGAATTTGTCGGGCAAGGGATATGACAATATCGCTAGTGTGAATGGAGTGTTAGGGGTGAAACCTATTGGCCCTCGAGCATTTCGTTGCAGGCCAGTTGTAATTTCTTCTTGAATGATCCGGGCAATTTCACCGGAATCCATGGCGACCGATCTAGAACCCGAGGCCATATTGTGAATACCCGAGGTTCCTACTCCGCCAGTTGCGGGGTTTGGTGGTCGTGCTCGAGCATCAGCCATAAAATCGCCATGCTCTGCCTGCGCTGGCGACGGATGTGAATTTCTTTGACTTAACAGTTGCGTGAGCGTGGCCACTTGCTGATGAAGCTCTTCAAAGGCTTCAGTTGTGATGACCGCTGGCAGAGGTGCGGGCACTCTTGACAATTCTTCATGAGGAGCTGGTTGATCTTCGGCATGTTGAGGGATGAGAGCAGATGAGCTTGCGGGAGGAAGACCTAATCGTGTGTTAACCATGGCTTTTGGTAGCGTTTCCCACAGATGGCGCCAATAATACTACCAAAAATCGTACCTGTTGATTTCTCGAGCTTGATGATTTTGATTGAACACGATCGTAGTCTTTC